CATTATAATTAATTAATAAAATAAATAAATATTTAAGTAATAAGATAAATAATTGTTAGAATCGAAAAAATCACCGGAAAAGTTCACCGGACAGTCGCCGGAAAAGTTTGCCGGAACAGTCGCTGGGAAGTTCGCCGGAGTAGGGCGGTGATCGGAACGGTTGCCGGAGCGGTAGGGGTGGTGAAGGTCGGATGGGTTAATTATATTATATTAAAATTAAATATTTAATAATAAATTAATTTAATAATTTATAATTTCATAAATAAAAATTTAAAAAAATCTAATAAAAATCTGATTTTGGTAATTTTAAACTTGTGTTCTTATTTTTAAAATAGACTAAACTTATACTCTTGGATATGTAATCTTCTCTAATTATAATATCATTCAATATTTCATTCTATTTTTATAGTTACAAACATTATCGATTACATCATTAATCGAAATTTTAGTAAAAAATCTGATTTCTCAACAATTTCTTAGGCCGATTCGTAGAGTTTTTTTAGACTAGAATTTGTGAAAATTGATTTTTTTAGAGAGTGTTGTTAAAAAGTTGAAAAAAAAATCCACATATAAATTATTTTATAAGTAGAATGTATAATTAAAAATGACGACTAAAGATTGGTTGAATTAGCCCAACTTTTATTGTCGTAGTTGAATTTTTCCATGTGGAAATTACACAAAACCAGACTTTCAAAGTTTCAATTTCAAATTTCAGATATAAACTTTATTTATACAAAAATCAGATATTAATTCATCTCCATCTAAATTATAATTACCCAAACCCTAAAAACCCTAAATCATTTATCACGTTTCATTCTCTCTCTATCCTCTTCTTCTCTCTCATCCTCCTCGCCGTCTCTCTCATCTCTCTCTATCCCAACTATTACTTTCGCCGAAGACCACCGCAAATGTTGCCTCTACGAGACATGTCGCAGCTGCCCACTACGTGAACGACGCTGCGCTCAGCAGCCACTGTGTACTTTGCGAATCGTTGCTGCTGTGTGGCGTGAACGACGTTGTTGTGCACATTACGAATCGGAGTTTTGTTGGTTACGATATGGGGAAAATTTGGAGTGAGTTTTGTTGGTGTGTGTGGTTGGTGGTGGTGTGGCTGTGCTCTAAAGTGGTGGCGATTTTCGTGAGGTTCCTAAGGCGTGAACGGCGCTGCCCTCAACGATAGTTGTTCACATTGCAACATTGCCGTTGTCGTGAATGATGAGGGATCTGAGAAAAATTTGGCAAACATAAATATAATAAATCACAATATTAATCTCAAGTATCCAACATAACGAACATGAAAATTTGAATTGCAAAAGCAAATATGTTATACCGTTTGACGGCATTGATAAGTGCAGAGCATTTGGTCGGTGGTAATAGGGGTCGAATGATCGTGCGAAGATTCCACAACAAGATGGTCTTCGTAAATCACCAGCTACTGTCTATTTGAGCTTGGACTGTTGG